TTATCACTTGAACGCATGTCCACCGAACCGGCGCATGTCCACCGAACCGGTCATACATGCTGGGAGCTCCCACGACACTTGACAGGGCTTCATGCTTTGTGCCTCTGCCCCTTTCTGTCCGAGCGTGTCACCACGGGACAGATAGGAAAAGAACCGCGTATGAAGCAAACCTACATTGCATAGCACCTAGATCGCATAGGAATTACTGCTGCGGCAAGGCTAAACGGTGTTCACGTTACATGATGCGAAGGAAAACATAAAAGTCTATAAACCCAGCGAGCACGATTGTCTGAAGCTCTTCATCCCCCACTATCCTGCAATCGCAACCCGAAAGATCAGCCCGAGGAGCTTGTTGCCCTCGCTGTCTCGCATGGAGGCGTGTCGAGCGATCAGGTTGGACCTGATTTTGAACTCCGGGCTTGGCTCTCTTTTGAGTGTCTTGGATTCCCGAGGGAGAAAGAACCATGATGAAGCTAAAACAAACTAAACAAAGACCGCCAACATCCACCACCACTACCACCACCACCACCACCACCACCACCACCACCACCACCACCACCACCACCACCACCACCACCACCACCACCGGCGTGGGAAGTGCATTGCAATAATAAGGACAATCGCCAGCATCAGCTACCACAACCAGCGCCTGCACACTAGCCGGCGCCAGTGCCAGCACCATTCCCAGCTCCGCCAGCACCAGCACCGCCCGCCGTGCTCTGGTGGTGGTGGTGGTGGTGGTGGTGGTGGTGGTGGTGGTGGTGGTGGTGGTGGTGGTGGTGGTGGTGGTGGTGGTGGTGGCGGCCGTGGCGTTGGCGGCGGTGGTGGTGGCAGCGGGGATGGAGGTGGCAATACTGAGCAAGAAGAGGAAACGGTGATGATGAAGAGCCGATGATGACACAATCGAGGTGTCTCGTGATACTGCAGTCTTGCTGCTGCTTGGTAGCTCCCCGCTGATGTTCCTACTTAGACAGCATCCTGAAACCTCCCATCACCAAGCCTATGACAGCTCCATTTCCCAATGTTCAGCCTCGCACTGCACGCAAGATGAAAAACTCCCATGCATATGCGGCTTATGCTGTGGCTCGTTGGGAGGACGATGGCTTGTGAGCTGGTACTCGAAAGGAGGGACATCCAGCATGCAACAATTCTGAAAAGATGCCATGGTAAGACAATCTGTTGGCCCACAGGCACAAATCCACTTGGGCGGAGCGGCGTACGCGACCGGAGGGACGCGCTGGGCGCAGGCGCCGCGACGAAGCCCAAAGCCTCCGCACGCTAGGGTTCCGACCATGCGAAAAGCTATGCATGTCTGAAATACTTAATTCATTCCATATATATATATATATATATGTGTGTGTGTGTGTGTGTGGGTGTGTGTGTGTGCATGCGTATATATATATATACACACACACTTGCATGTCTACACTATGCATGCAAATGTACATGTGTCTGTCATGCTATACTCTGTATGTATATTTGTATATACATATATATATATATATATACATATATATATATGTATATATATACACATACATCATGTAATGTAAGCGTGTGTGTACATGTACATATACATACATAGAGATGTGCTCATCCTTCTCTTTCTCTCTCTCTCTCACTCTCCCTGTGCTGTGTATACATCCGCTTATGCGCAGCTGTTGAGCCGACGCCCGTTTACGAATGATCGCTGAGCCTTGGCCGTAAAGCGGGTGGCCAGCACCAGCGCCTGCACGACTTGGGCATGAGAACAGGCTTCATCTTTGCAGCAGTTCAAGCCCGGATTCAAAGGATTCGACCTGCTTGCTCACTTGCACTGTCATTACACGAGCGTTCCTCCAAGCAGCATGGGTGCAACCATTGCACAACAGAAGGCTCTGGAGAGTTGCATAGTAATAGGCAGTCGCACTGGCAACGGGCACAGTAATAATGCCACGAGCACAGATGCCCTGCCCAGCGCTCCACAACCCTACAAGAGCTAAACATACAATGTTTTGACCTCATATGTCCGGGCTCCTGAAGATGCCTCTTCTGGGCGTTTCATCGTGCATCCTTTCACGACCCCCTGAACATGCGAGCCAGCTGCGAGGGCCACAATGGCCAGGGCCAAAGCGGAAGGCCGAGATCTCATCGCCTCGGCGAAACACCATTGTTCACAAGGCTCTCACTCCCACCCTACCCGCTGTCACTGGGAAGGCTTCGTTGTTCAGAGGGATTGCTACGTCGACGCCCGAGTGTGCACTTGCTGGCGGTAGGGCTCAGTCTAGCTGTCGTGACTTTATACTCGTGCCCGTGATTATATGTAGGGAGCCCAGGCGAAAACACTGATTACCACTGCAGCTGCTTAACCCTTTTACAGCTGGGCTCTGAGTGTTCGCCAGCGGGTCCGCCCATCGCAATTTAGAACTTTCTGGATCGGATCGGATCGGATCGGGCTTTGAGGGTCTGTGGGGTGTTCAGGGCTTGGGGGTTCAAGGTCCCTTCTATAGTGAGACCTTAGAATGACATCTCCCATTTAAGTGGACACCCCCTCAACCTCAAACCCCAAAAACAACTCCAAGCCTTCAAACCAACGAGCACACAACGACCTGTCCGAAATTTCCAAGCCTTCAAGCAACAAGCACACAACGACCTGTCCGAAATTTTCAAGCCTTCAAGCAACAAGTTTAAAAACACAATCATGCTCGAGGTGCCATCTCCTCAGTTGCGCGTCGACACAAAGTTCTCGGGTGTCGGATTGCTCGTTTGAGCCCAAATGGCTTCCGAGAGGCGACATGGGGGCCCTGTAAAAATTAGATTCTTTGCGCCGTGGCGGGGCCATCTTCTACTAAAATCAGACTTGCTTGAGTTTGGGCTTTTTTTGTGCCTCCCGCCTGGCTAGGACGAACCTACGATGCAGGGTACATCAACTGGATCACGACAAGACTGTACAAGTTCGGGCTTAGACGACTAGAGTACATGGTCCTTGCACTTGCTCTTCCGAACAATGATTTCCCAACCCTTTGTCGTGAGCCGTACTAGAATCATGACTATGTAGCTCCGTCACGCGTCTACATGTTGACTCTACTATACAACTGGTGTGACCCTGTTTTCTACCCTTAGCAAAGTTCATGAACCGTCACCCCTAAACCGCTACCCTACCCGGGACTGCGACAGAGAAGGCGCGCGAATGGCTGAGGGTTGCAGAATTTAGTGTGAACGGTAAGTATAGGTTGGGGGTGGGATGCGAGGGTATGCAAAGCTCTGCCCCGAAACGAAAGCCGCGAAGCAAAAACTCTGGGCTTGAGAGCGACCATCCTGCAGGAAGCCCTGATGAGAGGAAATCACTGCAGGGAACCTTCTCTTAAATCTTATAACCCTTTTTAAAGCACGGACTTGGAAACCCTAAACCCCAAACCCTAAACCCTATAACCCTAAACCCTATAAACCCTAAACCCAACAAGCATAACCCTAAACCCTATAAACCCTAAACCCTACAAGTATAACCCTAAACCCTATAACCCTCAACCCTAAACCCTATAACCCGAAAGCCCATCCCGCGCCATGCCGTGCTCGTCGGGCTGATCAGCGGACCAAACTCCTTCAATGGATTGCTTGCTTGGAGGGTCGGGGGACTTAGTAAATGGTTATTTTATAGACTTATAAGTACCATAGCCCCAATTAGGGTCCCTTTTAGGGTACTTATAAGTCTACTTACTACCTACTTACTAAGTCCCCCGACCCTCCAAGTGCTTGGGGTCAAGGACTCGCTTCTACCCATAGGCCCCAAAGTAGTTCCTTTTGGGAGTACCTTATAGGATTCTATATATGAACCCCAAAAAGGAACTACTTTGGGGGCCTTAGGGTTAGTCCCTACTTGTACCTCCCCATCATGCATGTTTTTCTGCCCGTCTTGCTTCACAGTTTAGGGTTTCGGGTTCACTTGTTCGTGTCGACAATGGCTGTAAGTACGCACAGGGGTAAAGGATGAAATGGGTGGTATCCAGAGTAGCGTGCATGTCTGCACCCATTGTTTCGTTAGTTCAGTTTTTTGTTGGAGGCTTTTTGAAAGCACAACTATTGGAGGTCCGACCGGCAACATCGCATGGAAGAAAACTTCAATCAACGACCGACACGACTCTTTTCACGGCGGCTCTGCCTGAGTCTGTACAGCAGGGAGCATGCACAACCGTGCCTGCTGGCATGGTAGAGACTTTGCCTCTTCGCAGTTGAAGCAGCGACCAATAAACTAAAAACGAGCAGAATTCGAAACTGGATTCCGGCTCATACAACACTGGGCCCCCCAAAAATGCCATGGGTGCTGCCTCAACAGATAGGGGGCGCTCGGTATGATCTCGATAGCTTTGAAAACTATGACGGTCCCAAGTGGACTTCCTTGCCTGCACCGGAAGTGAAGCCGTGGCAGATGCCGTGCAAGCCAGGCCCCAGATGAAGGAGTTAGGGTTTACGCTCTCGCAACTCGGACGCATCCAGACGAGGTTCTTGGTCGGCGGGTCGGGTATCTACAGCGCGTTCCCAGTGGTGCTCAAAGAACAGCCAACAAAACGGTAGTGCCACAAAAGATCGGGTTTAGGGTTTAGGGCTCCAGAACAGAAGAATTCAAAGACCCATGAGCGACCTAAACGGTAACATCCTCAGGATCAAGACTCCGGAATCAGGGCAATATGAGCCCTAGATGACTACTAATTAGGCTGCTTCTGATAAAGACCTTGAATAAAGGAATCCCCAAGTGTAACAAACCCTCACGTGATCCAAACACTCTTGGTTTGCCTGACCCACGGCCCCACAGCCATGGGCTTCTCTCTCTCTGGACGCCCACACAGGGACCTCAGCTTCCTGCGCTGCAATGCTCGCCCTGCTCTGGCCTGTGCAAATAGAGCAGCGCGGGTTGCAGGCGCATGAGACTTGTGGGTTTTAAGGGCTACCAGTGGCGAATTTACAGCGGTTCAGGGCACTTAGCTACAAGCTTGAGATGCAATGCCCTTGTTCAGGCTTCGCTCTCAGCTAGCATCTTCCAAGAAGAGCTGTGGGGAGGCATCCGTCACTCTCTGGACTTGCTCATCTTTGATGAGATCTTGGACCGGCTTCTGGTGCACCGTGGAGGCCATGATGAGTGAGGACCGCTCAACTTTTGCAATGGGGTTGACATTGTTCTGGATGACGGTCTCTGTGACCGTCTTGTCGAAGCAATGTGTGGCTGCAATGACTACGTGCAGGCTCGCATGAGTCAAAGGCAAAGCTCCTGACTTCGTAAGAGCATCCAGCAGATCGAAGGCAGCGTCTCTTTCCGTCTTCTGCTCTGCCTTGGACAAATGAGTTGTGGAAGGGCTGGCCAACAACGCCTTCTGAGACTGCTTGGTCCACCTCTCTCCGGGGTTGATAATGGTCGGCCGGAGGGAATTATCGGTGTCGAGCTTCTCAAATCGTTGGTCCATTTCAACTGGCACCTGCGTGTAGTCTCGGGTGCCCGAGCTGGCCTGCACTGAAGCTTCGCCGGGGAACCTCTGAGCACGCGGCACCGACTGCTCTTGCTGCTGCTGTGGCTGCGGCTGCAGCGGCTGCGGCTGTGGCTTCGGTGCCTTGTCCTTGCTGCTTCGGCGTGCGGCCGGAGCTCCGCGGCTGGGCGAGGGCGCCACGCCACGAGAATCGGCCAAGGGTTTGGGCGCGCTGGCCCCAAAGGTGGGAGCAGCTGAACAAAACCGGACTGCTGTCGTGGCGTCCACTGCGCCCATAGCCCTGGCCCCGCAAAAGTAGAGGGCTTCCTGCTCCCGCTGCTGGATCTCTTCCTGCTTTGCCTGAGCAAGCATCTCATGCATCGCTTGCACATGTCCCTTCACACGCGCAAGCCTCTCGGCAGCCGTGGGATTCAAGAGCTCTGCCTCGCCCGAGCTAGCATCGAACGAGAGCAAGTCACTGGGGATCTGATACTTGATGCACAGCTGCATCAAGTCCTGTGTGAGCTTGATCTCTTTCGTGAGGCTGTCGTCGGCCAGGTTCAGCACGCGCTCCAGCTGCGGCTTGATCTGCACCACAAGCACACCAAACAAAGTCGACTCCAGCTGCATCGAACGGAAGGCTTTTGCAAAGCTTTGCTGCTCTGGTGACAGAGATTCAATGGCATCTTTGAACTCCTTTGGGGATGGAATCGTCGACAGATTCAAGGGTATGGTCAGTTCATCCTTGTTCTGGATGATTGCAGCATACTTCGGATCGAAGCTGGTTGCAGACGAAACCCGTCCGATCAGGACCAACATTGAACTGAACTGCCGTGCACGTGCAACCAACGACAGCTGACAGCCCGACTGTCCCGAGAACTGGTGCGAGAGCCATGCGTGGAGGTGCCTCTCCCCGGCGAAGGTCACGTTCGTTGACGCATTGAGCGGGAAGGTCATAGGAGCTGACTCTGCATTGCTGGCCACCATGGTGACGATGGGAATATTGATATTGGAGTCGCCACCCGGTCCAACCACTGCTTCCTCGATACTCACCGTTCCCTCCGGGCTGTGCGTGTCAGAACGGCGCACAGAGAAGCAAAGAGGTTTCGGCAGGAATGACTCGTGGAAGAGTTTGCGATAATGAAACCTCATGTATGCAGCAAAATCGGCAGGGGAAACTTCCTTGCCGATGGCGGCAGCCAACTGCTTGCGGAGCATGTCCTCCACGTAGCCAACTGCATCGGCCCAGCTGGAACACACCCGGGCGACATGCAGCAAGGTCACCACAGCAAAGGCCTCTGCCCTAGTCGCAATTCCCTCTTCGGGGAAGGCCTCTGCAACATCGCTCTGCTTCTGTTTCAGCGTTCGGACCTCTTCTTGAAGGAGTCGATTGGAGTCCTGGATCGTAAGCTGCACGTTGCTTTGGGCCTCCTCACGGACTGCCTCTACAAGGATGAGCTCTTCACTAGAACCGAGATCTTCGATCGCCGGCTGTGAGCTCTGGACCATCACGGGAAGAACAGGGCTGAATACGCTGTCATCTCCTGTGAGTGCCGCGAGGTCCAGCACCTTTTTGGCAGCGGCTTGTATGTGGAAGAGCCCGGAGAGATAGCTGGATACCTGCTTGGCGAAAACGGCAACTCGCTCACAGTGGCTGTATGCCTGCTGAACATCTTCGTTGCGCCTTGGGGTTTTGCAGTGTTTGGCGAGTCGGTCGACGGTGAAATTAGGCACAGCCTTGTCGCTCTTCAGATTGCGGAAGAGCCAATTCACGTTCACCTGCCAGTTGGCCGCTGGCTTCTTCACCTCGGGTCGGGGAGACTGCTTCGTCGATGTGATAAGTTCCGCTTGTCCTGCACGCGTCATCAAGCACAGCCGGTCATCAGCAGTTTCACCAACTCCTCTGATCGCCACCAGTTCGTACTTTACTTCGAACTTCCAGAAGTACTCTGTGATCTTCGTAACCACCTTGCTTGTGAATGCAGCCTGCAAAGCGCCGCGGACTGAAACCTCTTCGACATGCCTTGTCGGATCTTCCTCTTCTCGCGTTTCCTCCCGGAGGTAGCGGCATGCCTCCTCGGCGCGGAATTGGAGGGAGACGACTTTGTCCTTAGACCAGTCTTGAAGCTTCTGCACATGCTGCAAGGTCAGGCCCAAGGCGCCGAAGCAGTTCAGCTGTGATGCAACTGCTGCATTGGTCACGCCCTCCACCAGCAAGTACTTGTCTTCATACTGATGGTGAACATCGCCAGCTGCTTGCGGATCTTTGGTTGCATCCAATATGACCCGAACCCGTTCCAGGGCTGCCTGGAGACGCTGTTCCACCCGCCCTTCAGCAAAAGCTTCCATTTGATCGAAGCGGTGTTAGGGACGGTCGTGAACCCACTGTAATTGCAATTGAGCCAATGCTGCAGACAAGCCCTTTGTTATGGGGTTGGGTGCTTTTGCCTGGCGACTGATCTGGATCTGTAGAGGTGTTTCAGAGCCAATGATTCGCGGCATCGATGCTCGCAGAAAGGATGATGGATATGAGAGCGCTGCGAGCAAACAGAGAAAACTGGCACCATGTGCTTCCCAAGCAAGGATGACAAGATTACCGAGAGGAATCCCTGGATAATAATTCAGCTGTGCATACTGTGCACCTGTAGGAAGTTCGGTTTGCAAGACAGCTCGGTCACGCAAGACGCCTGAGTCTCCAGGTTGACTTGGAACCTCAGCATGCCCTAACCCCCCTAAACGTGACCCTTAGAGAACCCTTAAAGAATTTTGGTAGGGCCCTTCTTTTAGTACCCTAGGCCCCTAAACCCTAGCCCTAGCTCATGAGACCGTCCTTGGTGGACACATCGACATAGATCAGCCTGGCCAGGCAGCAGCGCCGTTCGGGTTGGGGATTCAGCGTATTTTTTTGGGGGGTCGGTTGCTTATTGTAATTAAAGTATAGTTGGCCCCAACAAAACCCTATTCTAAGTATTAAGGCCCCTACATTATCGATTGAGAACTATGGCTTCCATAGACTACGAGGGTTTTACGAGGATCTTTGTCAGGTTTATGAAGGAACACGGGAAGGGAAACAAAGTCGTAAACAAGAGAACGACCAAGTAGCACAGAGTAGCAATGCGGAGATCAAACAGCTCGGCCGTTTCACTGGAGCAGAGAAAGGGTTTGCCAAAATCCACAGCACGAATCTCCAACTCAAGCTTCCCACCAGCAAGCCCTCAGCTAGTGCCCAAACTACTAGTAACTAACCTAAACCCCAAGCAATCCCTGTCCCCCTTCAGCCCGTTTTGCAGCTTGGTCGCCCAGCGGCGTCCAACGACCCTAGGTCTCCATGAAAATCTGAATGCAACGAAGTGATACGTTATGATTTTTTCATACTCTGTTGTAAGCCTATTGTCAGAGCATGCAGGGGGACACAGGTTTTGGAACATGCAAGTATGCAACACTGTATCTAACAGGCCACTAGTATTGGGGCCGCAAGAATTCTAGGACCACAATGAGAACATGAAAAATTAGTATTCGCAATTATCTCAGGGCCTTCTTGTAGTATGGCTTTCCAAGCCCGTGCCCTGGCAACTTCCCGGAGCCTGGACACCGCATCCGCTTGCAGCAGCTGCGGTGGGGCCTCACGAATGACCTGAGAAGTTTAGGGTTTCGACGCTCACGCTCGCACAAGGCTCAGGGTTTAGGGTTTTTTCGTAGACGGTTTAGGGGTTTTTTCCTCTCGCATGAACCTAGGGCTCTTGTGGGTTTTAAAGTTTAGGGTGGCGATGAATCGAAGAGCGGGTATCTGACCCAGAGTAGCAACGAGGAAGTCTGCGCACGTGCCTGCACATTCATACGACTTCATACAAAAACACGCGCATGTGTGTGACATGTCCGCATGTATGCAGGCATGTGTGAACGGCTCTATACCCATCTACTTTAAATACATACGCACATACATACATACATACATACATAAATACATCCTCCCCTCCATCCATGCATGCATGCATGATGCATACATGCATACATACAACAAAGAAACACACATACATGCATGCATGCATACATACACATGAATGCAGCTTAGCATAGTAACTCTCGAGCCGAAGTCGAAGCACCAGAAGGACTAAACTCACTAAACCCTTTTACAACTCGCATGCACCGAAAAGCACAAGCACATACACACATGCACGCAAGCATAACTCAGCATGTTGCAAATCTCTCTCTCTCTCTCTCTCTCTCTCTCTGCCGTGCCATCATCAAGTGTCTCGCAATGCAAGGGCACGAAAAAGCAGGCCGGAATATCAGGAGGCATAGCGCGAACGCTATGCACATTTACAATACATCGGTGCACCGAGCCTCGATCTAACGAGGGATCTCTCATGCGTCGCATCACACATCTCGTGGCTCCTTCTTCACGAAGATGTTTTGCCACAAAATCCAAGTCGAATTTATGCAGGTACCTGTGGTCGTCGCTCTGGTGGAATCGCCCCATTTCGCCCTCAACAATCGACGAACCCAGAACCAACTCCCCCAGCCCATGCGCCACACGACTCAGACTGCTTCGTGTAGGAGGATCCCTTCGTAAGTCGATGAAGAGGCCGGGTCTGTGTGCAGCCGATGGAAAGCAAATCAAGTTCGATAACTCTCACATAAATAAATATAAATATATATAAATATATATATATATATATATATATATGATTATATATGATTATATATGTTTATATGTACATATGCATATATATGTGTATATATATATAATACTTACACACACACATATATATATATATGTGTGTACACACATATGTTGGGCCTTGATCGTTGGCCCAACACATGGAGGCACTGCACCCATTCAAGAGAAACGCTAGCACTATGTACGTTGAGGCTTAAGACGTTTCGCCATATAAGATTGGGACAAAGCTGCAAACTGTCCGTCCCAGCGCTGGTAGGCCCATGTACCTGAGAAGGAGACATAGGTTTTACGTGCCCCCGCAAGTAGATCCGAAAACGGGAAACCAAGGCCTGCAATCTACAGTCTACATGTAGTGTTTGTGGTACATCATGAAAGTAAGAAGCCTCACACACTTTTCGACTACAAGGGGCCCAAAACCATTAATTAAGCCTGAACCTCATAAGCCTCGAAACCTTAAACTCAACCACTCTGAACCTTTCACACATGGGTCTATGCTAACCCCTATACGCTGCACCCAGTCCTAAACTAAACTTCCACTGACCTACAATCCGGCAACCCTGAATCAATCTGGAGGATCTTCCCGAATCCTAGAACCCCAACACGCTGAAGCCCGCTTTTCCAAGGGCTTCAGCTTTCAAAAACCCCAAACCCTGCAACCCTAAACCCAGAAACGATTTTTCCGAGGCCTTCCAGGTGGCAGACCATCTCGTAGCCTACCAACTCTCGAGGACCCGGACAGAAGGGTTTAGCTTATGAGGGTTTCGACTCACACACTCGCACAAGGCAGGGATGTGCGGCGAGGGATGTAGAACTTCGGGATTGGCTTCAGGCACTTCTGACTGTACGTAGTGCAAGCACGGAGCGACAGGAATCAGGAATTAAGGGCCCGCTGGCGTGTTCTGCGTTCTAAAGCGAAACAGTAAGCCATGAAGACATCACAAAGCCCATCCCCCGGCCCCACTCTCATTCTCTTCTCGCACTCCCTCGCTCTCTCCCGGTCGAGCTCCAGGGTCCTCGGGTGTCTTGGGGTCGCAGATTGGGATCCGCATTCCCCTCATCGATAATGGTCAGGCCTGTGATCTGCGTCGGCGGCACCAGGTTGTACCGTCGCCGCTTCAACGTGGACTCGAATTCTTCCTTCCAAGTTTCGACTCACACACTCACATCCTGCCAAGTTTAGGGTGTGGGGCTCAAGATCTTTGACCAATTTGGGTCATGCGTCAGGTTTGTAGCAAGGTATGAACGGACGGCGGCTCCGTGAACATCACAAAGGTAACAAGAGCAACTCGATCCAGACAAAACCATGTCGACATGCACAACGCATCTCTAGCAGCCGAAAGCTGCAAGGAGTTCATCGTTTTATGGATGTCTGGATGTGGACCGGTACGTGCAAATGTCACCATGCCAGCAAACAGCCCTCGCTCGATGACCTCGTGCCATTTAAGTTTAGGTCTTTGGATAATAATGGACGCTGGTAGCTTGAACGACACCCAAGAAGCGGGTCCTGACCATGATGGATCTGAATGATGTCCAGCGGCAGCTGGGCTTCATTTCGCTTTGCATACATCTCGCCTCGGCACGCCAACCCGAAACCCTTTCGAGGAGGGACTACACCCACCTCGCCTCGACCCGAATTCCCAAACAGCCACAGAACTTTGCAACCAGATGATCGAAACCAGGACACGTCGGCTGAAGCATCGCACCCTCGGCCAGCCTCTGCTTTTGTGACTAGGGTCCGGAGTTTGCCTTTATGCCTTGGCCTAATATTCTTCCTAATAGCACTTGGGACGGTTTGGGGAGTCAAGCTTGATCGGTGGCCTCCTGGAAATGTTGAGGGCAAAGGATACAGCAGCTATGTGCACGTGCCAGAGCCGAAGCCCCACTGATGCACACACAACTCTACTTACCTCATTGAACCCGACTTGCTAGGCCCCCGGATCCTGCAAAAATCCCAAGGAAATCCCAATTCTTGAGCCGTCTTCTGGTCGAAGCAACTCTTCTCAAGCATGCGGGCCAGTACCCGGCGCAGCAGGCGCCCCAGCCAGGGACCTCGCTCGAGAAGCCTCCGCTGTCCGGTGAGACCAGGTTCAGGGTGAGATAGGGGCCGTAAGTATCCATGACTATTGGAGTCCATTGCGGGTTCTATCAGGCGCTTTGTAAGGGCTTTCCCCAGATTTGTCATCATACCGGGACTCCAGAGTCAGTGTGGGTATAGTGTCGTTACACCAAGGAACCCCAAGGCCTTAAGAGGTGGCAGGCCTCACCAGTGAGGCTTCTATAGGACTGCTGAGCGTGTTTAGTTTGAGTTGCAAGACATATCTAGCCAGGAGAGCAGGTCGGACAACCCACCCCGCAAATCGAAACGTGAAGCCGGGTACCGAAATCGAATCGAAAGTAAACAACAACCAACCTAGAGGCTTCATGTGCCACAAAATCGCAAGGACCCCTTCTCAACATGATGACCACAGACGATGGCCCAGGAACGGGCCAATGAGTGTGAAGAGCACACCGACGTCGAAGGTGAAGCTCAAGTAGCCTTTTGAGGGTGGGTTTCGGATATCGGGCGTTACCCCATACCTGAGAGGTGGAGTTGAGTTTGGCGGGTCTTGGATGCAAACTCTCGGCCCGAGAGCTCGAGGGGAAGGCACCAAGGTGGCAGGAAAAATCAATACACATTGCACCTTTCGATGTACCTGGCGCACCCGAGCCGAAGTAGCTACGATAGGAGAGATAACATACACCCCTTAGGAAAAAACATGTCAGATGACTCCTGCCTGATTCAGGCGAGGTGAGCTTGGGCCTTGGCACTCTTCTCACTGCGCCGGAATGCCGAAAGATTCCGAAAGCCTCAGACAACCCGAAAAGCTCAGAACAAAACCTGAACCGTGAAACAACTGCTGAACCTACCGGAAACCCTGCAGCCCGACATGAGCGTGACTAAGAACAGGCCCCGGGGCGCAAGGGGTCCACGATCTGGAGCCGCAAGGCCGGGTGTCTGTCCACAAGGCGCCGAGTGGCCTCACAGGGATTTTCGGGATCTCTGCGGCTTTAGGCTTTTGAAGCTTGGATGAAGAAAGATCGGAGTTGCTACTCTTCGTCGTGCTGCAGGCCTGCTACTTGTAAGTCTCAACAATGCTAGTGGCTTGCTCTTGTTGCTCGGAAAGCCTCCTTGCTCTTGCTTTTCCTATGTGCAGCGACTCCGTGTTCTTGCTACTGCTTCTGACCCTGCCATGGTTTTCACTACCATTGCTGCCTTGCTACCTCGGCTATGTACACTACGCTACTAATTACTCGACCATTGCAATACTCTACTACGAGAGCATGCAAAGATACGGAAGGCAGGGCTTCAAGTCCATTTTCGGCCCGAGCCCCAAGTCAGAAAACCACGGAAAGCCCTTCAAAAAAACTCGCCACCCGCCCAGCGCGGCCCCCGGCCTCTGTTAGAGCGTCATGGTTCAGCCTCCAGGGTCCGAGTAACGACAGAATTTTCGATGAAGGGAGGCTTGATGAAGGTGCACTTCTACTCGGACTTCTACCTGCACGATATAAGGACCAAAATTGCAAGACTAGATGACTCTACTTCTTCCGTTCCAGCACCAGAGAACACAAGGGATCTTGAGCTCATGCCATCATGCCGTACAAGACCTCCCAGCACAATGATGCTTTCTGTCATGCACCTCTCGCTGGTATGGAGGCTAGGGCGCAGAGATGCTTAGAGCCACTAGCTCGGCGTGAGCTTGAACAATCTAACTTAATTTCCGAAGCCTGTAACGGAAGCCAACAGCTGCCAAAGGCTGCGAGCACGGAAGACGTCGATATTTTCCATCATGGCAACGGGGCTCACAGCGAAAGCCCGAAGCAGCGCAAGAAACTTTACGATCACCCGAAACCCATATCCTAAGATGTAAGGAGCCTTCGCAGAGCGAAATGACCTGTAACCCTATAGTCAACCGCGAACAAGCTTCACCCACTGGCCAAGAACTAAATTAGGAATGGAAGAAGAAAGAGGAATGACAACAAATAGCAAGTAGCAAACAGGACGATTTTACGGCGAGGACGACGACAGCTGCCGTTGATGGTCACGGAAACAATATCAGTAGCAACACTGCCGATACAACCACCACCAACAACAACATCATCATCACCTACTGCTGGCAAGGCTGTTTGCTTTCAGATTATGCAACTTGTGCTACGTCTGCAGAAAACAACGGCGGTCACTGGCAGCTAAAGGGGAGAATGCCCTAAAGAATGTTCATATTCATTTCAATGTTGATTCTTCACTGTCCTCCCAAACCTTTATCAAGCCGGCAGGCCTGCCGTCGCCACGCAGAACCCACTGCCCCATTGGGGAGACCTGCGCAGCTGCATTCGTTTGGTGAGTATTGGGCCACGGGGCGGATATGTACCGTTGTCGTGAACTCCGAATCCAGCTGCAAGACGGGCAAGATTTGAGGTCTCTGAGGTCTCGGACCTCTGCTTGAAAGGTTGACTCTGCATATCCTTGCATAGAGGCCATCACCCTTATCCTGGGAGTCCTGGGTGCATCTGCGTGGGCGTGAGCCTTCACATCATCATTTCTTGTCTGCCCCTCTCAGCTTCGTCACTTCCCAACCGCGGCCTGCCCTGGCGAAAACCAAACGGCATACTCTTTGCCGATGTCCTGCAGGAGGCTCACAGAATAAAGGGTGGGCGGCAGCACCAATGCTTGTACAGCTTTCGGATGTTGGCGCTGTGATTTACATCGAAGAAGGTGTATGCATTCCCTTCATCGGGCCAAACACAGCCATAGCTGCAGACCAATCGAGAGCATGACGACATTGAAGAAGAAAGCCAAATACAAAGGAAGCATAAGAAAGCGACCTATGGACCCCTGAGTGTGTTCGGGCCGAGGCTGACAAGCCGCTTGCCGACGACTATGGGGCACTCCCATTGTAAACAGCACCTACCTTGAATCGAAGGGCTCATGTGCGTCGATTCAACAAAGGTCTGTGGCGAACCACCCCAAGATGTTGCTCGCACATGTTGAGACGTGAGGGACCTTTTAGTATCTGCGATGCTTACAGCCCGTGGCACCTGAGGTGGCGCATCCACAGCTGCACAGCAGGCGGCGACGCGGGGAGCACAAGCGACGACTTCTGAGAGCCTGTGATTGGAGGCTCGCCAACGGTGTGCGCACGACAATTGGGTCTAAGAGTCTAAGATTCCGAATTCCGATCCTTATGGATACCATAACTAATATCTAATCAGTCATAACCGATTCGGGAACGAAAGGTTCGGTTTCGCATGCACTGCGGCATTGCTGGTATCTTCCTGGGTGCGGTTGCACTCTGGACGCTAGCGAAAGTGCTCTGCATCTTTACTGTCTCGGGCTTTTTCACTGAGGTTGACGTGACTTTGTCTCTACTGTAACTGTCGTGACTGTTAGGATAGGGTCGAGGAAGATAGCCGTAGCGATGACAAAGAACACGATCATGAATGACGACAGTGCAACAGACATGCCACTTCACAGCAGGAAGGCGGTGATGGTGATGTGGAAATGTTGATGATGCAGAGATCGCTACTGCTACTACCAGAGCAGAAGATTAGTCGGTCTGTGGTTTGGTTCTGATTGCCGGAATTGCTGACCGCGACGACGATCGTAGCTCGCCAGCCACCGATAGAAAGCTCCGCTGCAACTTCCACGACTCCGGAGGCAAAGACAAATATACTGCTGCCAACAGAATCAACAATCGTTATTTGTCGGATCCTGCAAAGCTCTGCTGTGCAAATTGCCCGCGGAAAGCCAACGCGACGGCTGCGACTGCTGCCACTCGTGGCACTAGTGTGAGAACGACGAAAGTGCGCATGGCGAGCTAAGATGTCAGGTTGTATGGTCCGTGGTGGCGGCAGTGGTTTGAAGTGGTGGTTGTGGTGCCTGTTGCGGACATGACGAAGGCCGACGAGAACTATGTTATTTCTGCGGTGATGCTGGTGACTTCGCTGTTCGTTGCAACTGCGAGTTTTACTTCCGAGCATCCTTTCAGGATGCTCCTGTGTTCGATCGCGATTGTGCTGCTAGCCCAGGTTCCAACCCTTCGCGCGGGAAGCGGGGTTCGGAACCCTGACCCTAAACCTCATGCTGGCCCGAAGCAGCAGACCCCAACACAACGACTAGCGCGCAACTGAGGAGCTCCCTTGCGGTTCGCACTTCACGGATGCGAGGTGCCGGCACCATGCCTGCTTCACAGTTCGAGGCCCCGAAGCTGTAGCACACGGCTAAGGTTGCACTGCTCAAAGGCCAGCCGAAGTACAAAGAAGCCATGAACTCTGCACTGTGGCAGCCAACTCCACTCTACCACAAGTCCACATAAATGGAAGACGGCCTTCGTATGATGTTTCAGTATAAACATCCTGATGACCAGATGCCTAACATTCCGACATTCCCGTGCTGCTACCCATCTAGGGCTGGCTCTGGGGCCCAGGCAGCCGAACTCATTTCCTCAGAGGTGCAGCAGTTCTTGCGCAGATCAGAGCATCACCACTTCTACACAATTGGCAGGTTCAGAGAATTGGGACCGTAATATAGATTCCTATATCCTTGTCACAAGGACAAGGTACCCGAGTTTCCTGAGACTCCCATGTCATGGTCAGCCCATCGCTTGCATGCCGGTTTGTCGCCTGTTTTCTGCTGGATGGAAACACAGTTTGCAGTGAACAGCGGCGAGCTTGTCGAGCTAACTGCAAGACAGATTAGGCTGATTTCTGATTTTGCGTTTGGAGAAGAATTACGAAGCATCGCGGGGCAGCAAGGGCTCCGTGGTATCATCAGTGACACGAAAAGAGCCGGAGAAGGAGGAGGAGGAGGAGGGAGGAGGAGGAGGAGGTTTGGGTCTTCCTGAAACTCGGCAACCCTGGAGCTGAAGTAACCTGAATGTCTTGGACCTGCAAGTAGAGCTTGTCATGTTTCAACATGAGATGCGTGGGCCTACGAAGTTGAAACACCACTCAACTCAACAAAAGAAGCAAACCGATGAAGATCCCAGGGAACAAGAAAGCCCAGGGTCTAAGCTTGTTTGCGAGGCGTGCGATTCGCAGCGAGTCCAGACCCAGAAGTACACCTATAGAGGCATGGGCGGCAGGGAATGCACATTTAATAACTATGTAAGGCTGACGTGTTCAGTGGATTTCAGGTGCCAGCTGAGCTTCCGAAAGGTTATTCTTACCAGGTGCAGGTAATGTTTGCTGCGGTATCCTGATCCTTACATGCGACCCCAGGTGGAAAGAGTTTTGGCTTGGCGACCCAAGCACGGGCACAGAAATCGTGCCATAGGGAGAGGCTTGCGATGCTTGCTTGGCTTTGCATGACATATCTGAGGTGTCTACGAAACGCCCGCATGCATTCCACCCTAGAGTATGACTAGACTATGACGTACTACCATATACTACAATATTATGCTTCCTTGCTGCCGGTGCCTTAAAAAGTACTAAGGGCCCCCAGACAAAGCCACTTTGGAATGAAAGCAAAGGACCTGGGCGAAGCCCCAGAACACCCTCTGGGAACAAACATGTAATGAGTTGAGATCCTTACGTGACCAGGACTCGAAGGATGAATCTCTAATCTTGAATCTTGAGCTCGATGCTTCGAACCCCCAACTGCCCCCGGCTGCAGCCAAGAACCTCGACATAAACCCCTAAGCCCCTCATCCTCAACCTCCTGTAGACACTTAAAGAGAGTCCTTTTTTTCAAAAGCCGACCCAAAGCCTTAAACCACCCTTGTTGAACCAGGACGCTTAAACCCGTGCCTGGATGCTAGGGAAGGTCAGAATACAACTCACGGGCAGAGGCTTCACCGACCACCGCCCTAAACTTTCCCAACTCCCAGACCCTCTAAACTCCGAATCCCTAAACCCAGACAGACACTGGAAACTGAAACCTAAAACCATTCTAGCTGCCCTTGTAATAGCCCCAAACCCTAAACCCCCAAAGCCTTTATTGAAACCCGTGCTTTTCTAGTAAACCGTTTTTTTAGACCTGGACTATGCATATGCCAGGAACCGAGGTGCCGACTGTGCTGCAGCAAACCTACCCCCTAAACCGCCAACCCTAAACCCTTTTCCACAGGCCCTAAACCCTAAACCCGAAACCCTAAACCCGAAACCCTAAACCCTAAGCCCTAAGCCCAAGGTTCAAACTCAGAACTTCTCTGAGCCCGGCGGCTCGACGGTGTGACGGGTCGCAGGAGCGGCTCTACCTCGCCGAGTGCCTGGGATCTGCGTTTGAATCTACTGGTTTGGGTTTAGACTTTAAAGTTATTCCTCTAAGGTTTAGGGAGGGTTTTTCAGGATTAAAGTGCTTTTAGGGCTGGGGTGATCGGTTCAAGATAGCATTAAGTTGCGATGGCCGCAAGATATTGCACGATAATAGCTCCCAAATGGATGTCTGCAGCTACTGCTCTTGCAACGGCGCTCTCCAGGTGACAGAGTCAGGGGGCGGCGCTGGCTAAAGGGCTTATGGGTTCTGAGGATTTGGAGGTTTAGGGTTTAGGGTCGTTCCCACTTGCAAGATTCAGGACTTTAGACTCTGAGGTATACGCACATGGCACCGTCGCACCGTGCACACAAAGTGTGCTTCTGTTTATCAGCGTTCTGGATCGATTTGGACTCCACCATGAACGAGGCGCCAAAGGACACATCAATTTTCGGTCCGGGAGCACCAAGAACCCGCGCTTGATGCCAACGGTAGTGTGCAGCTGCTCGATCAAACCGCTGCAAGATGTTCGTGGCTTGTAGGCGTAATCTAAGCGCTGAGGAGCAAGGAACCCTCAGGAATAGTGTTACGAGCTACCACGAAGCCGGACTTACTTCTAGGAGGCTACTTTTGGATTTCCGGCAGAGAGATGGAAAGCCGGGATCACTGTTTGTCAATCTCTGAACGATGCGCAGTGCGGCTTTGCACTTTGAAAGCCGAGGTGGAAGCCATTGTGAGACTGGTTTGCTTAAAGGCTACGAGTAGGACTTCAGGTGTAGGCCTTGCCCGGAGCTTGAACAAAACTAAGGAATCCAACACGCAAGCCTACAAAGAATGTTGGACCACACCCAATACCCTTGAATGATTCTAGCAAAGTGCGACCGCAAAACCCCCAGTCCGCATCTATGACACCGGAGGTTTTACGCCAAGTTCGTCAAGGCCAGATGTGCACTAGACCCTTTTGCAACTGGCCTGCTGACCCCCAAGCCTAAATCCTCTACACATGAAGCATCGGAACCCCAGACTAGTCTCCAGCCAAGCCCCCGAAAAGCCTCTCTGAGAACTAGGTTCAATTTCTTGGCCAAAAGGTGGTTGCTGGTAATTGCAACTCTGCGTTGCTGCCACCAGTATTAGACCAGTGTACGATTGTGCCTACTGCCTTCCCTGCGGCCGAGCTGCACTCAACAAACACGTAGTACGACTATCGGGGAATCAGGGCGTACGGCCCAGGGCGTACGGCCCAGGGCGTTTAGGGTTTGGGATGTTTAGGGCCCGTGAGCAACCGCTCAAGAGATATGTAGGGTCCAACAAAACATCAAGCTCCAAGCAGAGGCCTCAGGTGCCAAGTCCTTCGCCCTCTTTTTCCTGACATGCTGAGATCCACGTGGCCTCCTGCGCATGGTTTTTGCCGCTCTCGCTGAGGCTAGGGCTCGGAGGCTGGGGTGACTGGTTACAGTACTGACGGAGGTGACACTGCTGGTGAGTTTGGGCTGAAGAGATGACGAGGCAGCTGAGCTGGGAAAACGATGCCTTGGGTCATGGTGCCTGACAACTGCAAACTATTTGCCAAAAGCCATTAGAATGAGCTTCTGTGCATATTCTACCACTATACAACACGATACTATACATATTTAGTCCGGAACCTTAAGGAACAATATCGGCAATGTAGCCCCTCATCTGCCTACTGGAAAGGGAGCAACGGGCCTCGAGAAGCAAACTCTCCTCGGGGCAGTGGCTGCTCAAGCTCAGAGGCTGGTTCTCCTCGGCCCGACATGGAGTTTGGGGATTTTTTGACGCTCACACTCGGCAAGACCAGGCGAGGTCTCTGGGGAGACTGGAGAGATTGGAGATTCAACGTACAACTCAGTTGCACAGTTGAGTTTGCGGAGCTCGGCTTGCAAAGGGTTGAGGGTTTTGGGCTTTTTTGACACTCACTCTCGGACAAGCCTGGCAAGGTCTGCAGAAGTAGGTTCGGCGAATATCGTTATCCCCTGCAAGTCGGTTCACTTACAGGGCAGCTGTCAGACACGACCCCGGAAACGCCAACACCAAATGCCAAACCATAGTCATCGGTCACAACTGACAGCAGCCGGCTTTAAGGGTTTAAGGTTAAGGAGGCTTGGAGCTGAAATTTGTTGCTCAGGCTCTTTGGGCTTGGTGTGCATGTTCAAGACCCGTAGGTGTAACTCTCCTCTTCGAAGGCTAGAACATGCTGAACGCGCAGTAGCTGCCGAGGACAGCATGCTCTCCTACTTGATGCAGAGCATAGCTACTTCTGGATTTGACATTCGCACTCGGACATGCCCAGGCAAGGTCTGCAGATGAGACTGGAAACTCTGAAAGGCACAAGCCGGATTCGACGACTTACCGTTTAGCGCGAAGATGTAGCGCTCAGGGTATAGAGTTTTGCAGTTCTAACCCAGCGGGTCGGCCTGCTTCTGCGACCCCGCCAACCAAAATCAAAAACCACAGAAAGCGGATGCAGCGAGGCACCTATCTCGACGAGGTGTTTCTGGAAGCCGTACTTTAGATACCGGTCAACCGCATTTTCCGACGACAGCAGCAACAACACATCACAATCGTCTACACGGAATATAAGCCAAAACTACAACCGAAATCGCTACTGCCATACATGTAGTTAACTGTATCTGCACGGATGCAGAGCAGTGCAGGATCTCGCCAAGCGTCGGCGTGTTGCACACGAGAAACAAACCTACAGCGGCCGGAGCTTTCGATTGCACAAATTCGGGGTTGAGGGGGCATGAGGGATCGGGTGGTCATCAGCTTGGTGAGCTTGAGGGTCTTATAATTAAAAATTCATTCAGATCTTGGGTACGGCCCCCAAGATAAAGATGATGAATAATATTCATAATATAGATATATTAGGACCTGAATAGTAGCCTTAGTAGCCCTATTATAGGCTATTACTGCATGGGGGCAGTACGTAACTCAGATCCATAACAGCTGCTGTTGATCGCCCCGGGTCTCTCCGTGCTGGTTGAAACTCAAAAATCGGCCGGGCTCTATTCGGAGCTTCACACGACTTCACGCTCTTCTAAACGGCCAGCCACTCGTTGGTAGCGGGTACTACATGGGTGGTTGTCAATATTAGGGCCCCTTTTTGGGTCCTTATCATAATACGGCACCTAATATATTTAGGATACCAAAAAGGAACCCCAATTTTGACAACTACCCACATGGCTGCTGTCTCGACCGCTTCCCGGTCAACACATTGTTGGTTTTTCTCAAAACTGTGCGCACAATGGCTGCGGGCTGGTAGAAGCCTGCCTCATGCGAGCTAAAAACTGCGTGGAATCCTGAAGCTCAGGCGAAACTTAATTAATGACATAGTGGCCTTAATGATTAGAATAGGGTTTTAGGGCCCAGCATGCAGAATTAGAATAAGGAACTCCCAAAACAGTATAGTTAAGGCCCCTATACTAAGTACAGACCAGAATCTGAAGCGTGCACAAAGTCTCGGCCGTGTGGGAGGCGGACCGCCGCAGGTTTGCGATGCAGACCTAACTTCAAGTGGGTTCAGGATCTACGTAAGTGGGTTCAGGATCTAAATAAAGATTGCGAAAGTGGGTTCAGGATCTACGTAAGTGCGTTCAGGATCTACGTAGGCCGTGGCTTCTTTGAATGCTTGGGTTTGGGGCTGCGGATGGGAAGTTACGGTTGTCCTCGGAGATCGTCGATTGTTAGGAGTGCAGGTTTCCTCTGCCTTTAGAGGCGATCAGGGACGTTAGATATGTCGGGTTTCAAGATCCGAATCCAACCTGGCACTGGGGACCTCCTTCTTAGGCTAGCCTTGGAATTGGGACCCAGGTTCGCGTCGACACTACGCGCAAGCAGGGAAGTGAGACCGTCGGGAGGAGGGTTTAGGGGATTCCGGGCTTCTTGCTTTTCAAAAGTCTTTTGGTTACGCAAACAGGAGGATTGGAAACCTTACTCCTGCGCATGTGGTGGATCAGTGGAAGATCCCATGTTACAGTATGCCACTGTTGCATAGACACAGTTGAGAAACACCCCCCAAATCTTACGGATTCAGGCCCAAACACCAACAGGGCCCTTTCAGAGTCCTTGTTGCACGCGCCCCGTGCTCTTCTAATTTTTTGTGGGAGCTCACAAGACGGACCCTAATTCAGTGAACTAACCCTGTGTCATTAGCTGTTTGCAGCCCGGGGCACCATCTTCGCATTGCCTCCAAGTGACCTCAGAATTCTTGGGCATGCAAGTAGGGGTTGAATCGGGGCTTGAGGTTTCAGGATTTGCGGAAGAGCCAAAGCCACCTGAGTCGGTATATTGTGCCATTCGTTTGCTTCGCGGTACAGACGCGAAGCTTCGGGTGTGCCATTGGTGATACAGGCAGGCTGTGGATTCTTCATGGGGACTTACAAAATGGACATCATCTTTGCGATGGAACGCGGGTTGACGCAGTTGAATTCTTTACACCTAAACGAACCTCAGCTGGCGCATGTTGCTGCACCTGCTTTTAGATCTGTCGTGGATTTGCCGTGCAAAGGACAACAAGTTGCATTCCAGTCACACGCTGAGGCCTCGATGTGACAACGAAGACCGCAACACAGACTATCACGCTTGCTTCTGCGACAGCTGCTGAAACAGCTACTGCTACCCGGACTGCTACAACGAGGACTACTCAGGTCGCAATGGCCACAGCAATGTCAGTTGTTCGCAGCATCCAACAGCGATCGATGTTGCTGCGTAGGGCAGCACGAAACTGTGCATCATAGCCGCTCCTTCAAAAGACGCGTGACACACGAGTTCCTCGGCTCAATTCAACGGGATGCACAGCAAGAGTGCTTAACACTCATGGCGAGTATATGAGCCCTGTTTGCAATGTCGACGAATTACAAAAAGGTTTCCTACCCGAGCCCGAACTGGCTATGTTTGTTTTGTGATTATTTCCACTGGGTGCCCCGGCTGTGCATAAACATAACAATCGATCTTCACTTTCTTAGCCAGCAGTGAGTAGTTTTGTAGTCAGTAGTAAATCGTACGCAGTCCACAAGTAGCAAGTGATGAATGGTGGTGGGCAAGCACCAGCTAATAGTGGCCTGCTAGCAGCCATACAACCAATAGCCGTACTAGTCCTCGTGGCAGAAGTAGCAGGGACAGGCGAGGCCAAGGTGGACGCGGCAGTTGTGGCACGTAGTGGCTTTGGGACACGAGCCAAAGCCAACACTGATGTGGTATCGCCCTGCCATTGTTGCATCATCCTCAACGCGATCTCCACATCAAATATGGGCAAAGTCGCCGGTACGGCACATGGGGGCTGGGCGGCGCCAGAGCGGAAATCACCTTGTATGGGCAGCTGCGTAGGGGCGAGGCGAGGGGCTTCGAGAGCTGCCTCTGCTCCAGCTGCACTATACAGTATATATATCATAATGTAATTCCTAGATTTTTTTCAGTGAGTCTTCAAGCTGCAGGTGCGTCGGCTGTGAGAACCTCGTCTCAGGTTCGATAGGAACTCGATCTTCGAAGATGTCTCACACGAATGACGATAGCAATCGGGGATCCGCATGATGATTGCAGAGACAAGCTATCCACGCGGCTTTGGTTAGCGTCTGGCTCTGGCCTTCAGATTTGGGGTTTCGGATTTCAGTATGAGGGCATAAGAGCATCTCCATGACATCCAGCTCTTATAACATCCAGCTTCGGATGTTCTTCTTGAATATTGACTAAGCGCCACCCATCATGCTGGAGTTACAGTAACAGGCAGTGCTTCACAGTATCCACAACAATCCTTACATGTCCAAGCAGTGAGAGCTCGAAAAGCCAAGTAGCGTCGTGCAGCGCTCCGAGGTTTTTGCCTGGAAAACTGGCTTGGAATCTGCTGCCGGCGGAACCGCGCAACTACATAAAATACGGATGTACAGTAAACTTGTGGATTGGTCGAACAGGCCCTCAACCCAAAACCTCAATCCCCGTACCTGACACCTGCGCAGTTCCTGCCCATGCCGACCTCATAGATCCTCACAGTACCCCAAGAAATTACGGTGTCCCTGGCCCTTCGGTGGGATCTAGACTTGGTGGGACTTGTTGGGCTTTCCGCCTCCCAGGAAGTAAGCCTTCGGCCGTTGGCAGTCGGAACTGCATTCGGTGGAGACCTCATGCCTCTACGAACACCAACGCAGAGAACCTCCAAGGACTTCATCAAAAACCCAGTGTTTAGCCATCACAAAACACAGAACCTGGGCCTAAACCCCAACACCGAAGCCAGAAAGGCCCAGGTGCCAACGTATCTCGCATTGCGCATCTGCTCGATGTCTTTCTCGGCAGTATCCAGGGCTTGTGTCTAGCAGAGTGTAGCGTAGGGTTTATTTGCGTACGCATGGCAAGAACGAGCCCTCGTCGCAGGGCTGGAACAAAGGAAATCCATTGTATCCTAAATGCAGGGAAGAGCCCACATGTTTGCGTGGCATCGTCCGCAGCTGGACAGATTATTCTCACAGCATTCTCTGTAAGTTTAGGGGTTAGGGACACTGCACGCAACTTCGGGGCTTCAGGTGCATTGAGCTGGAGTATCTTAGCAACCGAACTCGCTGAAAGTGGCTCGCCAAGAGACTTTGACCTTCCAGCGAACCCTGCAACGAGATCACTTGAAGCACACGTGAAGATAGAAATTCCATATCCACAAGCCCTGAGCACTGGCCGCTTTGCAAGTTACAGTAAACTCCGAAGCACCTGCCCCTGTTGTTGCGTCGCCATTTGAGGAACCGGCACGACAACCCCAACACCCTTAAGCTCTAGACTCTAGACCCCGTTAGCCCAAGCCCTACCAAATACCCCAAACCTGGAGGCCAAAACGCTAAAGATACACAAATCGCCCTACACCATGATGCTCCAAAAACCGGACGCCAAAACCCTCTTGCCTCGCTTTTGGAGCGCCGATGCGAACTGGCGCAGTCCACCAGCGTGAGCCTTCCTGGGCTTTTCGGTGGCTGCGACTAAGGGGTCAAGGATTTTAGGATTTAGGGCGATCATGTTACATTATACTTAATCTGTTCTGGCCTCTTCTATTGGGCTTGACGGCTTTGGCGCCTTTTAGGGGTTAAGGGCCAGGGTCAATTTGAGGCTCACTCTTCGACCGGACGGGCGGGACAGATTGGTGTTAGGGATGGGGGTGTGAGGGTTCGGGGTTGGCCTCCTTTTCGAGGGCTCGAGGCCTGAATCACTGAAGGCCGGAGTTTCAAAGAAATATCAGGAAGCTGAATCGGAACTTCACTTGCTGAGGCTTGTGGCTCCCGGCTCTTTTCCCCCGGCGTCCCCCTGCCCTTGTCCTATCCATGCTGGGATTTGCATGGGGTGTTGCAAGGCGGCTCCAAGTGTCTAAGGACCGCTCTCTCTCCTCTCCCTGGTCGCATGACAGGCCAAAACAACATGAAGTGCGAGAGGGGCGGAGAGAGAGAGAGGCAACGCTCTGAACAAGCGACGAGCTGCTTACGCAGGGATGTCCGCTCCCACTGCGGGATCGGATGGTCAATCGGAGAATCGTGAAGGCAGATCCAGAGTCCACACTGCCATTGCCTTTAGGGCTTGTTTAGGGTTTAGGGTAAAGGGGCTTCAAGAACCAAGTCAAGAAACGGGGCCAGAAGCTGAAGGCTCAACATCGACAATAGAGAAGAGCCCGGGGATTGATTCTGGTACGAGCAGCAGCAGAAGCTGTCAGTCGGCACACGCGCATTAAAGCTTATATGGGCATCAGATGTTGTTGGGGTATAAACCGTCTACTCTAGGGGCCTTTGTAATTACCAATACTGTGTTGGGTGTTCCTTATTATATTTACTGTATTATTTACAATATAATGGACCCCAAAACCCCCTCTTTTTATTGACGCCCTGTATTAGATGCAGGCCACTCCATGACTCGATGTTCGAGGCGCGATGTGACTGTGCTACAAAACCCACTTGAAAAACTCTTTCAACAATCTTACAGCGGCAGGAAAACTGAAAGGCTTCCACCTGATCATCCAGTGCACGAGTGTCTTGAAGATATCCCTGCCGGTTTGCATTTGCAAGTCGAAGAATCAAGAAAGCATCTCTTGTTGGACTCACACGCGGCTGCACTTGTCCGTGGAACCGTTCGGATTATGTCAGACGTGTGTTGCCCTTCAGATTTCAATCTGACTTGAGGCCAAGCGGCGGGGATTGGTGCAGCTGCGGCAAAGGCCGTGGTCATAAAGCCTTTGTAGGTCCTTTCAGGGTTTATCCAGAACCCTACAGAGCTTTCAATGCTTCTGCCTGAAGCCCTGAGCCATCGACACGGGGAGTCCTTGGTCCTGGGCTGTGCTCCGTGCCGACTTGTTTGTGGGTCATACTCGTTGGTCTCTGGGGATGAGACGTTTCGTTTCGACCTTTGCGTTCGGCCCTGCCAGGCAAGGAAGCGCGGGACATTTTCCGGCCTGGGTTCCCGCTGGCTAGGACTAGGGAGTCCGCTAATTATCAGTTTTCTCGAGAAGCAGAAGGATGCTAGACCGAACACGTTTCCAAATGCATGCTCAGCACTTCATTGTACAAGTAAACCCTAGCCTGGACCCTGGAGGGTACAACGTTCAGGGGATCAGCGTTTTTCTCACAGCACTATCCTTGGTCCATGTGCCGGGCTGGAGGCTTGAGTTGGCCGGTCTGATCTGTAACATGACTTTCGTTGCTTGCACGTGCTTCCATGGCCACGGGTATTTTCCGTCATGCTCAACCAAGCCCTGCGCACCCTTCAAGCCCTGAGTCCCAACGCCCATGACCAGAATCTCCCCAAGAGAAAAAGCTGTGAACACCTAGTCATAGTCTGCATCGGCTTTGTCTCCGCTGATCTCCAGGTCTTTTTGTTGCATTGCCTGGGGTCTTTCGGCTCTGCTTTTAAATCGCCGAAAGCAAGGAATGTCGGGTCAGTCGTGCACGTCTCCACTTCTGATTGAATCCTGAAGATTACAGGCAAGCAAGCCGTGTTTTCTGCGCAAGTGGCTCCTAAACCCCAAGCTCTAAGCCCTAACCTCTAAGCCCCAAAATCCCTTACACCTGGACTTGCCCTAAACCCTGATCCCTAAGCCCGAAAAAACCTGAAACCCTTAGCCTGTTTACCGGAACCCCTAAGCCCCAAAAGCCCTAAAGCTTTATATCAATTTATATCTCCATCGGATGTGGAGACATCCACCTTCTGCCTCCGGCTTCGCCAGACGGAGCCAGAATCAAGGCTCAGGCCCTGATTTCGTCCTGAATTGGTTGAATGGCTCTGAAGCTACAAACCCTAGCAGGGTCCGACTGCCTGAATAGCTCCAGGAAGGCAAAGCCTAAGCGCACCTTGAGCCGCACGCAAACAGTGCGGCTGTCGAACTACTTCGGGTTTCAGAGACTGAATCAGGATCTTTCTCTTGAGGGTCTGTCTCAGGGTCACCTCAGTCTCTGAAACTCCCACTTCGGCATCCTCAGGGCTTTCTGGACACCGCCCGTATACTCGGCAGTGGAGGATGTCTTCAAGCGCTCAAGCCGAGCGCTGTTGAACGAGACCTCCGACCGGCAGTGGCATGGTGCCCGGATTGGCAAAGCCCGAAGACGGGCAAGGTTGAATGCACACAGGGGCCTCTGCTAGCGCGGTGCATTGGAAACATGGTCTATATCCTGCTCTGCAACATGAGTCGAGCTATCTCCTATACGTCGCACGTACGCCCGAAATCACAATCACACCCCAGGCTCGAAGGGGTAGACATCCGAGGAACACTCGAGCTGACTGCACGAACTCTGTGGACGGGGTCCGTGGAGACGCACAAGTCTAAGTTTTCAGAAACTGCGCACACAGACTGCCCCCTGTGACACATGAGCCTCGTCAGGTGGTTTGCATGCAGATTTGTCGACGAAAACGAGGGCGTAACTGTTCTAGCTCCTGGTGTCGGCGAGATGCGAAAGCTGAGCCTTACATGATGCTTTGGGAAACCTAGCCTAGGAGCCCCTAAAGCCATGCAGAAAATGCCATAAACGGATTTCAGGCATCGGGCTTTCTCAAATCACACAGGAGCTCAGTGGCCCGGGTCATAACGACACTGCGGCAGTGGGCGTCTGCTCCCGACACGTTGGCATTTCAGGAGCTCCACTTTCCAGCTCAGCTCTAAAGGGTTACTATAGTAAGAGGATTAGGGCAATTCTTAGGGTAGAGTTGTATACTGTCGCATATCCTCGTATATTGTCGTGCACGATAGTATGTTGTTGCATCGAAGATGGCCGTATCTTACAATATATTGTAGTCGGTCGTAGTGTATTGAAGCATAATGAAAGTCTGGCCTAGAGGGCTTCACGTCAGGCTCGGGGTTTGGGAATGGGGAATCTCGCACCCGGACCGAGCCGGGCACGGCTTCGTGGACTCCACACTCCGACGAAGCCGGACTTTTTTCTGTAGGGTTTGGTCTAGTTTGGTCCAGGCTTTGGGGTTTTGGGCTCAAGTTCGCAGGATGTGCGAGCCCTGCAGATCCATCCTGGAACTACACCTCAAAACGCGGATTCCTAACTCCTGGTCTTAGTATGACCCATCTGCTCTCAAGCACCAAGAACAACACCTGGAAGTCCGTGTGTTCCCCTCCTCTGCACTTGCTGCCCTTCAACTTGCTATCCCGTGTACATGCCTGCGGGATATGATTTAGATTTAGACGCTGCTGATGGAGGAGAGCGTAACTTGCCGAGAAGCTGTTTGTCTGACCTGTGACTTCAGTTGGAGACCATGTAAAGTGTTCAGGAGCTCGCGCTCAAGCAGCCATCGGGCGAATTCCGATCATAACTTGTCAGAGAATCTATCTACAGTCTGTCATGTCATGCTCCACATGCCATGCTCCAACTCAATCAGCTTCTTTGGCTAATGCAGAGCTTTCAACAGCCAACCCAGGCCTTTGGTGTGTGCTCGGGCTTCATTTTGGCTTGTGCCTTACTTCGGAAGCATAAGGGTTGACGAAGTCTCCTAGGGGATGCAATGAATCGAACGTCTGACAGCCACGCTCCATTGCATCCGCCTTCAACAGACAGATGCTGGCGATGAAGGATGCGACTCTTGCCTGCAAACCTAAGGAAAAACTCTGCAGGCTGTGGCAAACTGACACACCGGCGCACTGGGCGGCACAAAGATAGTGTGCCCATACCCTTCAGCAGCAGTCATTCTGCAAGTGAACTTGTCTAATAGATCAGAACTTTCGCTGAAACCTGCGCGCAGCTGTGGGCTGTTGATATGCCCACTATGGGTAATTTCGATCATAGCTCTCCTTAACATGGGACTGGCCAAGGCCGTCAACTACCCCAAATGGCACAGTTGAGACCACTGCAAGGTTCATTGCTGCTGCAAGAAACCCAGGGTTCAGGTCCAGGGCTTAGACAGTGCAGGAGGTCAGGAAAAGATCACGAAGACTGTATCGATTTGCTCCGCCAAGTCCGTAACACTGAAGTTCACGCTGTCTCCAGGGTTGGGCACCGGAAAAATTCCTGCGGTGCGGGTAGGGCTGCGCCCTAACGTCTGCATCCCAGGTTCCAGGTTAAGAGTGCAGCTGCTTAGATGAGCAAAGACCACCAGGAGAACAGCGGGCTTGATGATGGCAACAGCAACAGAGACCATGGTGGCATGAGGCCGGAGAAACGACGGCGAAAATTGACAAGTATTCGCATTGTCAAGCTTTGGTGGACACTGTGGCACTTGTAATTATATGGTTCTTTGAATTTTTCAGCCCTGTCATCCGAAACCCCAAAAGCCCGAAGTCCCAGAAACCTCAGCCCTACCCTCTTGTATAGCTGTCATGTTCCTGTCGCTGCTACTGCTGCCTATCTCTGGCCCGGGTACATAGAAAACGAGATGTGCTACCACCGCGCCATCTGCGCTCTGTGTCGGCTCTCGGTTCACTTAGCTGCACGGTTAACTACCAGAACGGCGAACCTTAACTGGATGCATCGCCCTCGCTGCTGCAGCCCAAAAAGGGGCTCCAACAAGAACGTCAATTCGTAGACCACCCCTTCCTGGGTTGCAGATAATGAAGCTAGAAACATAGGGTTTCCCAATCGAGCTTTCTCTCTGTCATACGGGATATTTGTGAACATTCGCACGTGACCCTTGCCGGTGCCTGCTGGTTCCTGCACAGCCCTACGTCCGGTTACTACGAAACATCCTAAAGTGAGATAAGTGAGATTGGGGAACCCTCCTCGATATCTGGCATGACATGCCCCCCGACAATCTGAGGAGCCGCAATGGAAGCAGCCTCTCCTTCGAAACAAAGAGGCTTATGGCTTGGGGCGTCAAGGTGTGGTCTTTGCAAAGTTCCGCTCTGCTGCTATCAACAAAAGATAGAATTTAGGCTGCTGGGTTCTCGTGCCTTTGTCTTGGACCCTGAGCCCCCACACAGAGGGCTAGAGCCAAACACGAAAAAAGCCAAGGATTCAGAGTTAGGGAGGCTGAGGACTTCTTGGATTTGGAGATTCAGGGGTGCTTGAGGTTAAGCGTATCGGCACATGTCGTCATGGCACGCATGTCGGGCGCCAGAAGTTGCTAGGTTCTTGCAACCTATGTGGGGGTTCTCAAAGTTTGGAGCTCCTTTTCAGAGGTTGTTGGGGGTTCAAGGTCAGTTTGAGCGACAACAGAGGTTCAAAAGTTGTGCCCCGAAAGACCCAAGCCTGACCTTCACAAGCCCACATGACATGGGGAAGTCTCCTGTGAGGGACTGCGGCTGCCTGCAGACAGGACATCCGATGACGGAAGTTCCGCGATGTGTGCACCAACTCCTGGGTCTTGGATGCCGGGATGTCGTGAAAGTCTACGGCCTAGATGTGCTATTCTGCTGTTCCAGGAGTCCTCAGGGGTTTCGCTGCATGAATGTAGATAGTTTCCGGCACATGCATCATCTGGTTTGCAGACCTGTAGTAATTACACATGCGTGCTTGCAATCTTGGTGCAGCGTGCGTACGTAGGGACATCTCTGAGTATGTATATACATGTATGTATACATATATATATATATACATACATACATTTCTCTGTGTCTGTGTGTGTGTGTCCATTCTATACATACATATATATATATATATGTACACACACATCCTCAGGGCATCCAGGTGCGCAGCTGTTTGTATAGAGAGATCGTGTGACAAGTCAGTCTTGTTACCTCAAGCTTCATGAGGTCTTCGAGAAGGTGCTAAGTGTTCAAAGGATTGTGACCATATTCAAGACCTGAGGTTGAAC